GCTAATCTCCACAGCACTTTGGCCTGGAAGGTCCCCAGTTTGACCTGCCTGCTCTACACCATCAGAGAACACTTCTGCACATTTTAGTACACAATTAGTGTTTATTTGCTGAATTAGATATTCTGGGGGAAAAAATAAAAGACAAAAATGTGGCCTTTGCAAAAGTTACGGCACTTTTTATATTTTATGTTGATTTTTTTCCAAACAAATAGAAATATTCCGCTTTCAGGAACGTTTTTTTTTATTTGGAATTGTTTATTTTTTCAGATAATTTTAAGTGTGTCCTCTTAAGTGACTGCATAAATCTGTCAACACTGGCTTCAAAATGTTGACCACCTTTGTCGAAAAGTGAAATGAAGTTATTTGGTTAGCACGTGCCCTCACTGGGCCGCCGCCGCAAAAGACGTTGTGCCTAACAGGCAGAACTCAGCGGTAAGTTTGCTAATCTCATCTCACCCCAAGGGCTGACCGCCGCACACTGTGGACCCACATTTGAAGCTGCATTTTCAGCTGAGCCGCAATTTAACTCTGCCCGTAAAACCACGGCATACGTCATTAGGCGCTAATAGACTCCATTAGTCCATTATGTGTGCCATTGAGTTTAACTGCATAATTTGGTACTCTTAGACTTAGAGAGTGAGCACTGAGTGAGTGAGAGAGAGAGAATCAGGCCTGTTTTAGTGGGATTCTTTCGCAAAGTTACAGATAAACACAGCGTAAGAAAAACAGCATACTTCTTAACTAGCCTAATTAGCCAGCACCACTGCAGTTGCCTGTCAAGTATTGAGGTAACGTATGTGCTTCAATCAAACAACAGTAAAGGCAAAATGAGCCTCATTCATGTCTTCGGCACGTCTGATTTGTGCGTTAATGAGGAGAGAAGCGAGCGCAGACATAAAAAGGTTTAATAGTGAATTAAAAACAATCTGAAAGGAGCAGAAGCAGCAAGCACAGGCTATTCAGCCAAGGACAGCAAACACTGTGTTCGAAATGGTCACTAATCACTATTCCCTAAATTAGAGCACTATACAGAGCACCATTACGGTGGACAAAAATAGTCACTAATTACTGTTCTCTATACTGGAGCCAAATAGACGTCTTTACTATTCAGCTAAGGACAGCAAATACTGGGAGATACAAACATGTTCAAAATGGTCACTAATCACTATTTCCTATATTAGAGCACTGTATAGAACACTATTATAGAGAGTACAAGTGGTAGCTAATTACTATTCTCTACATTAGAGCACTATACAAAACACTATTATATTTAAAAGAAATTATTCCATACATTCTTTACACTGGATCCCTAGAGAGATCACTATTACAGGGTAAAGAAATGATCCCCTAATCACTATTCCCTACATTAGAGTACTACATAGAGCACTATTATAGAGAATGGAAATGGGACCTAATCACTACTCACTACATTAGAACACTATATGACACTATTATAGAGAACAGAATTAGTCACTAATCACTATTCTCTACATTAGAGCACTATATAGAACACTTGTAGAGAACAGAAATGGTGGCTAATCACTGTTCCCTACATTAGAACACTATATGACACTATTATAGAGAAAATAAATGCTCGCTAATCACTGTTCCCCACATTACAGCACTATATAGATCACTATTATAGAGAACAGAAATGATCACTAATCACTATTCTCTACATTAGAGCACTATATAGATCACTATTATAGAGAAAATAAATGGTCGCTAATCACTATTCCTTACATTAGAGCACTATATTGATCACTATTATAGAGAACAGAAATGGTCACCAATCACTGTTCCCTACATTAGAACACTATATGACACCATTATAGAGAAAAGAAATGGTTGCTAATCACTGTTCCCAACATCACAGCACTATATAGATCACTATTATAGAGAACAGAAATGGTCACTAATCACTATTCTCTACATTAGAGCACTATATAGATCACTATTATAGAGAACAGAAATGGTCACTAATCACTATTCCCTACATTAGAACACTATATGACACTTTTATAGAGAAAATAAATGGTCGCTAATCACTATTCCCTACATTACAGCACTGTACAGATCACTATTATAGAGAACAGAAATGGTCACTAATCACTATTCTCTACATTAGAGCACTATATAGATCACTATTACAGAGAACAGAAATGGTGGCTAATCACTATTCTCTACATTAGAACACTATATGACACTATTATAGACAACAGAAGTGGCCGCTACTCACTATTTCTACACCAGAGCCCTATAGAGGTCATTTTTATTCAGCCAAGGAGAGCAGATTTTGGGAACTACAAACATATTGTTCAAAATGGTCACTACTCACTATTCCCTACATTAGAGCACTGCATAGAAGACCATTATATTTAACTGAAATTGTCCCCTATCATTATTTTACACATTGTTTACACTGGATCCCTATAGAGGTCACTATTATAAGGCAAACAAACGATCACCTAATCAGTATTCCCTACATTACAGCACTATATAGAACACTATTTTGGTGAACAGAAATTGTCTCCTAATCACTATTCCCTACACTATTTCCTGGTCTTCAGAGTGAGATTTTCTGAATTGAAGACTAGGACAACGATGTCGATCTCGAAGGTGAAACGGTTCTTCAGATTGATGGAGAATATGTTGTATGTGGTTCTATATAGAACCTTCCTGAAAATGAAACCCTTTTTGATTTGGGGTTCTGCCATTGTTACAATGTCAAGTCTTGTCCATCAATCTCAAGAACCATTTCACCATGCATAAAACCATTTAAGTATAAAGTGGTTCTAAATAGAAATCATAATTCTAAATTTTATATATTTAAATTTAATATTTTATTTCCTTGAAGAACCACCTTTAAGAGTGCAGAATTTCTCAGAGATTTAATGGAAAATAACATAATAACCAGATAAATGAAAAAGTAGGTACATTTTCTTTCACTTTGCTAAAAAACAGTGAATGGCACCTCCTTTTCCTTAAGCCACAATCTCGAAATACTGTGGTCACATAAAAAATAAGGTAGATATGGCAGCGTCAACAATGTCACCACATTTACCTGGAATACCTGTGATGGCATACCAACATCCTAAAAATGCATTAGCAACCACCTAGTATAACATAACAAAAGCCAAAAAGAACCTTAGCAACCACCTGGGATGTCATAGCAATGGTCTAGCAACACCTTAGCAACCATCTGGGATAACACAGCAATGGCCAAGCAGAACCTTAGCAACCACCTGGAATGTAATAAGAATGGTCTAGCAACACCTTAGCAACCATCTGGGATACCAAAGCAATGACCAAGCAGAACCTTAGCAACCATCTGGGATGACATGGGAATGGCCAAGCAGCACCTTAGCAGCCACTTGGGATAACACAGCAATGGCCAAATAAAACCTTAGCAACCACCTGGGATGTCATGGGAATGGTCTAGCAACACCTTAGCAACCACCTGGGAAAACAAAGTAATGGCCATGCAGAACCTTAGCAATCACCTGGGATGTCACGGGAATGGTGTAACAACACCTTAACAACAACCTGGGATGTCATAGCAATGGTCTAGAAACACCTTAACAACAAAAAGGTGCTTTGTAAAGTCAAGGACCTTAGCAACCACCTGGGACAACACAGCAATGGCCAAGCAGCACCTTAGCAACCACCTGGGAGGTCATAGCAATGGCCTAGCATCATTGTAACAACAACATGGGGCTTTGTAAAGCCAAAAACCTTAGCAAGCACCTTGGTTGACATCGGAATGGCCAAGCAGCACCTTAGCAACCCCTTTGGATGTCATGAGAATGGTCTAGCAAAACCTTAGCGACCACTTGGAATAACTCCACAATGGCCAAGCAGAACCATACCAACCACCTGGGATGCCATAGCAGTGGTCTAACAATATCTTAACAACAACATAGGGCTTTGTAAAGCCAAGAACCTTAGCAACCTCCTGGAATGACATGGGAATGGTCTAGCAACAACTTAGCAACCACCTGGGATAATACAGCAATGGCCAATCAGCACCTTAGCAACCACCTGGGAGGTCATAGCAATGGCCTAGCAACATCTTAACAACAATGTGGAGCTTTGTAAAGCCAAGAACCTTAGAAACCACCTAGGATGTCGTGGGAATGGTCTAGCAAGACCTTAGCATCCACCTGGGATAATATAGCAATGGACAAGCAACACCTTAGCAACCACCTGGGATAACACAGCAATGGCCAGTCAGAAACTTAAAAGCCAAGCTTGATCATGAACTCTTCTTTTCTAGTTTTATCTAATGATGCTTTGTTTACTTCACATCTGTTTGTTAGCTTCAGTAAACAGACTGATTGATGTGAGATTCATGTCTTGTAATATTATAGTACTGTGATTATTGCCACCCTACTGTTAATCCTACTGTCAGTATGTGGAGCTGAAAGCTTTCAGTATGAAGCTCTGGGCGTTTCCTCTTCAGCCATTAATCAGATCCTTCATGAGCAGATCAGTCTGGAAAACAGCGAGTGTCCGAAACTGTCCAGCACCGGCATTGGAAACCGCTGCATCAGGATGTCAGGAACTTAATGAATATCCAATCGCTTCTCAGCTAATGCAGGCAGAAAGATTAGGTCGATGTGATTGGCTGATCTATCGTTGATTGATTGGGGTGTCGGGGGGGGCGTGGCCTTTTCCTCTTACAGTGGAAGTGAATGGGACAGTGTGTCATTGGAGATTACAGAAGAGTGAGCTAATGCTAACACACTGTCCAACAACTGCAGGCTCTCATTAACATTCAGCACAGCGTACTGTACGCTCTCTCGCTCTCGCTCTCTCATTTTCTCTCTCTCTCACACACACACACACTCGTTCTCTCTCTCTCTCTCACACACACACACATACACTCGTTCTCTCTCTCTCTCTCTCTCTCTCACACACACACACACACACACACGCTCGCTCTCTCACTCGCTCTCTCTCCTGAATAACAAGCAGACATTATGAAAGCTGAGGCTCACTTCAGGTCCTGGAAAGGTTCGGCTCGAATGTGCGGCGTCTCAACTGAATGACCAAAAACAACTCCCTCATCACCTACAGAGAGAGAGAGAGAGAGAGAGAGAGAGAGAGAGAGAGAGAGAGAGAGAGAGAGAGAGAGAAAGAGGAAGAGAGAGAGAGAGATAGAGAAAGAAAGGGGGAGTAAAAGAGAGAGAAAGAGGAAGAGAGAGAGAGAGAGCGCGAGAGAGATAGAGAGAGAGAGAAAGGAATATGAAGAGAGAGAAAGAGAGGAAGGGGGGAGCAAAAGAAAGAGGGAAAGACGAAGAGAGAGAGACAGAGAAAGGTAGAAAGGTGGAGTAAAAGAGAAAGAGGAAGAGAGAGAGTGGGGGAGTAAAAGAAAGAAAGAGAAGAGAGAAAGAGGAACAAAGAGAGAGAAAGGAAGAAAGAGAGAAACGGGAAGTGAAAGAGAGAGAGCAAGGGGAGAGAGAAAGAGAGTGAGAGAAAGAAAAGAGAGACGGGAAAAGAGAGAGAGAAAGAAATAAAGAAATAAAGAAAGAAAGAAAGAAAGAAAGAAAGAAAGAAAGAAAGACACAAAGAAAAAAGGGAGGGGTGAGAGGAAAGAGAGAGAAGAAAGAAAGCAAGAGTGAAAGATAGATGTGAAGAGAGAAAAAAAAATATGGAGAGAGATGGTTAACGAGAAAGAAAAGAAAGCGAGAGAAAGAAAGAGGGATGGGTGAGAAATGAGAGAGAAAAAGAAAAGCAAGAGAGAGAAAGAAAAAGCAATGGGCAGATAGAAAGGGGAGAGAGAGAAAGCATGAGAGGATGAGAGAGAAATGAAAAAGGCAGGAGGAGAGTGGGAGAGAGAGATAAAGGACAGAGAGAGAGAGAGGGGAAGACAGAGGATGGGAGAGAGAGATATAAGGACAGACAGAGAGAGAGAGAGAGGAAGACAGAGGATGGGAGAGAGAGATATAAGGACAGAGAGAGAGAGAGAGAGAGAGAGAGAGAGAGGAGAAGACAGGATGGGGAGAGAGATATAAGGACAGAGAGAGAGAGAGAGAGAGAGAGAGAGAGAGAGAGGAGAGGGATGGGGAGAGGGATATAAGGACAGAGAGAGAGAGAGAGAGAGGTGGAGGGAGACAGGGGATGGGGAGAGAGATATAAGGACAGAGAGAGAGAGAAAGAGAGAGAGAGAGGGGAAGACAGACGATGGGAGAGAGAGATATAAGGACAGAGAGAGAGAGGGTGAGCGAGAGAGAGAGGGGGGAGACAGAGGATGGGAGAGAGAGATATAAGGACAGAGAGAGGGGGGGCAGAGGATGGGAGAGAGAGATATAAGGACAGAGAGAGAGAGAGAGAGAGAGAGAGAGAGAGGGAGACAGAGGATGGGAGAGAGAGAGAGAGAGGACAGACGATGGGAGAGAGAGAGAGAGAGAGAGAGAGAGAGAGAGAGAGAGAGAGAGAGAGAGAGAGAGGGGAAGACAGAGGATGGGAGAGAGATATAAGGACAGAGAGAGAGAGAGAGAGAGAGGAAGACAGAGGATGGGAGAGAGATATAAGGACAGAGAGAGAGAGAGAGAGAGAGGAAGACAGAGGATGGGGAGGGGGGAGAGATCTCAATTAGTTCTGTAATGAATTTTCAGACAAACATAACTGAGAAACATCACAGTCACAGTGAACAGATCTGAGAGTCTGAGCTAAAGCTAAAGCTAAAAGACGAGCAGTAAAGCAGAAACTCTTCTCTCTTTTCCTCGAACTTCTTTCCTCCGGCGAGGAGACTTTAAGACTTTAAACGCTCAGATCGTTTGTAATAAAAATCGTTGTGCTGTTCATATTGCTATCAGCGTCTCTCGGGTTTTGTTTTTGATCCTGATTAATATTCCGGGCAGCGATTAAAAAGGAAACAGAGAGAGGAAGTCGTTAGAGCCCCCCCCACCCCCACCCCCCACTGACTGGATAATGCAGTCAAGGATTAATCCGTTTCTAGAAAACAGTCTTTATTCATCAGCTGTTATTCGCTCAGGTAGCTCTACACTACACTTCATTATGTTCTAATGGAGGCATTACAAAACATACAATCCACAGAGACAAACCATAAAAATAATATCATATATTCTAAAATGTAGTTTATAATTACATATAAAACATAATAGATAAGATAGTTTGAGTTTTAAAGTCTGTTTTGTTGATGCTTGAAACCATTGTAAAATGATTAATATATCGCTGTTGTCAGAACAAAACCTTATATCTCCAAAATGGTAACTTTACAGGAGAAGGAAAAAACTATTTACTTTTAATGTAAGTCAATGGAACCAGACATTTTTCCAAGTGATTTGGGGTCATTTCTGTTGGTCCTTTCATCATGAAATTTACACACAATGTAAAAGGTAAGAGGCACCTTGAAATTATGCAAAAAACTGAAAAAAGGCAAAAAAATTGGAGATATGAGATTTTGTTCCGACAGCATTGATATGTATTAATGCACCGAGTTATTAAGAACCAAACAATCATTTATCAATTATGTGGCTTGCGTGCCAACCACAGCCTCATGAAAATAAAAATGTTTATTACAGTTATTATGACTAATGAATTAAATTCTCTGTTCAAATATTGATGTTCTTTCTCATATTTTGTTGTCACGTTACATAAACATCGTATTTATGATATTCTCCTTTTTTATTTTTACCGAATTTTCTTAATAATTATTACCAGGCTTACAGCATCTTTCAAACTGTCACCAGCTCGACATCACTAGACAGATCAACATGCTTGGAGGAGAATGCTAACTGCTAATTTTGTTTTCAGCTGTTGCATCATTGAGGATAAACTCACAACCTCCTGATGAAAGGCCCAATGCTTAAGCCATTTTACACCTGATACAGTAACCATGTCCATTAGTCACAACAGTGTGCTTTGAGTCTATTTTTGACGCTTGCCACACATGGCATGCTAACGGGTTCTACTCAGAAACAGTACAAAATTCAGCATTACAGCAAAAATCAAAACAGCAGACAGCCATATTTTAAGTTGTGGCAGCACAACCGTTACACCAACTTAATGCAGCTGTGTGAAATTTTGGCTGTTGCTTTATGGATTTTTGTTCATTTGTTTAGTACAATTTGTGGTATGGTCAGGCCTTTTCACTGCAGTAGCAGACACTTTTCACCACGGTAGAGAGTTTGACTGGGCCACGAGTCAGGACACTTTTCACCACGGTAGAGAGTTTGACTGGGCCACGAGTCAGGACACTTTTCACCACGGTAGAGAGTTTGACTGGGCCACAAGTCAGGACACTTTTCACCATGGTAAAGAGTTTGACTGGGCCACAAGTCAGGACACTTTTCACCATGGTAAAGAGTTTGACTGGGCTGCAAGTAAGGACATTTTTCACCATGGTAGAGAGTTTGACTAGGCGGCGAGTCAGGACACTCTTCATGATGGTAGAGAGTTTGACTAGGCCATGAGTCAGGACACTTTTCACCTTGGTTTAGAGTTTGACTAGGCCAAAATTTAGGAAACTTTTCACCATTGTAGTGAGTTTGACTAGGTTGCAAGTAAGGACAATTTTCATCAGAGAGTTTGACTAGGCCATGAGACAGGACAATTTTCATCATGGAGGCAGAGTTTGACTACACTATGGACAACTTTTATTGCAGTAGCAAAAGTAGACTAGGCCTAGAGTTTGACTGGGCCACAATCTGGGACAATTTTCATCACAGTAGCAGAGCTGGACTGGGCCGCAAACTGGGACAGTAGCCGGATTTGACTAGTCTGTGAGCCAGGGCAATTTTTACCCTAGTAGTAGAGTTTGACTGGGCCATGAGCTGGGACAATTTTTATTATGGTAGCAAAATTAGACAGGGCCAGGAGCCCCGACACTTTTCACAATGGTAGAGAGCTTGACTAGGCCACAAGTCAGGACACTTTTCACCATAGCAGTGGAGTTTGACTAGAATGTGAGCAGGGATTGTGAGCTTTTCACAGCATTAGCAGAATTTGACTGGGCCATGTGCCAGGACATTTTTCAGCACAGTAGCAGAGTTTAACTGGGCTGCAAGCCGGGACACTTTTCACTGTGGTAGCAGTTTGAATGAGCCATGAACCAGGACACTTTTCACTGCTGTAGCAGTTTGAATGAGCCATGAACCAGGACACTTTTCACTGCTGTAGCAGTTTGAATGAGCCATGAACCAGGACACTTTTCACTACCGTAGCAACTTGACTGGGCCGTGAGCTGAGAGACTTTTCACTGCAGAAGCAGAGTTTGACTGGGCCGTGAACTGGGACACTTTTCACCATGGTAGCAAAATTTAAGCAGGCCATGAGACAGGGACTTCGCACTATGACAGTGGAGTTTGACTTGGTCATGAGCCATCCAAGGCCTCACTCTCTCTCCCTTTTTCTCTCTGTTCTGTTATAAAATTGTGAAAATAGCATTCCCCTCCAAGCACCCATTGCAGTGGTGCTTCACATGACTCTGCGGTAACAACATTCAGAGGTAACTGAGTAACAATATAAAAAAGAGGATATCATAATTAAGATGTTACTCATTTATGTTTTTATAGTTCTATGGTTAAAATAAACATGGTAAATCTGTATTTTATTGAAAGTAGCAAATAAAAATGATACATTTTAATATTCATTTTGAGCATAAAATTGCATACATGAGTGTGAAATTTAAATTCAAATTTGTGAAAATATTGCCATTTCACATATAGCATTTAAAGTAGGAGCCTGAAGGTATGATCAAGCTTTTATAATCAGACTAACTGGAGCTGCAAATATGCTTTATTAGAGTGTCCACTTCATTAGAAATACTGACCACAAATTTCCACTCACTGGCCACTTTATTGGTGTAAAATGTATGTGTAAGGTAGGAGTTTGTAATAAAGTGGCCAGTGAGATGAAGCCTACAGTGGATTATTACTTAGCTGACAAAACACAATGACAAAATACATCAACGTTTAATGAATTATTAACTGTTACCAATAATCTAAATGCACAATTCTTCCAACAGGCAAAGCAGTTTAACAATAGGCTGAGAGAGCTGAGCAGCTTAACAGTCAAAGATTATTAATGAAAAATGATTTTAATAAAATACAACATTAGTAGAGAGATCAGCTGCATGTGTGTATGTCTGTATGTAGTCGTGTGTGTGTGTCTCTCTCTCTTTCTGTCTATCTCTCTCACTGTCTCTCTCTCTCTCTCGCACTCTCTTGGTCTGGGCGTCTCTCCCTCTCTCTGTCTGTCTGTGAGATTCTCTCTCTGTCTCTCTCTCATTTCTTTCTCTCTTTAATCTCTTTCTCTCTCTCACTCTCTCTCTCACTCTGTCTCTCTCTCTCTCTCTCTCTCTCTCTCTCTCTCTCTCTCTCTCTCTCTCTCTCTCTCTCTCTCCCTCTCTAATGAGCACTGTGGGAGGTCAAGTGGAAAAGTGAAGGTCACAGCCAGAAGACTCACTGACTATTACAGATGCTGAGAGAGAGAGAGAGAGAGAGAGAGAGAGAGAGAGAGAGAGAGAGAGAGAGAGAGAGAGAGAGGTGGGGTAGTGTGTAGAGGAGAGCAAATTGAGCAAGACCACCAGACCAGATATAGACACACACACTAGTTGTATGTGTGTATGTATGTTGTAGTGTGTGTGTGTGTGTGTGTGTGTGTGTGTGTGTGTGTGTGTGTAAATTGTGGTGTGTGCATATATAGTGTGTGTGTGTGTGTTTATAGTGATGTGGGTGTATATAGTGGTGTGTGTATGTGTGTGTTTGTGTGTGTTTATGTAGTAGTGTGTGTGTGTAGGTGTGTGGGTGTGTGTTTATGTAGTAGTGTGTGTGTGTATGTGTGTGGGTGTGTGTGTGTATGGTGGTGTGTGTGTGTGCGTATATAGTGTGTTTGTGTATGTTGTAGTGTGTGTGTGTGTGTGTGTGTGTGTGTGTGTGTGTGTGTGTGTGTCTGTGCATGTGTGTATGGTGATGTATGTGTGTATGTGTGTGTGTTTGTGTGTGTGTGTGTATGTGTATAGTGGTATGTGTGCCTATATAGTGTGTGTGTATAGTGGTGTGTGTGTGTATAGTGGTGTGTGTGTTTATGTCGTAGTGTGTGTGTGTATGTATAGTGGTGTGTGTGTGTATATATATAGTGGTGTGTGTGTGTATATAGTGTGTTTGTGTGTATATAGTGGTGTGTGTCTATATAGTGGTGTGTGTGTATATAGTGGTGTGTGTGTTTATGTAGTAGTGTGTGTGTGTAGGTGTGTATGTGTGTGTATATAGTGGTGTGTGTATATAGTGGTGTGTGTGTATATAGTGGTGTGTGTGTTTATGTAGTAGTGTGTGTGTGTAGGTGTGTATGTGTGTGTATATAGTGGTGTGTGTATATAGTGGTGTGTGTGTATATAGTGTGTTTGTGTGTGTGTAGCTGTGTGTGTGTATAGTGGTGTGTGTGTGTACAGTGGTGTGTGTGTTTATGTAGTAGTGAGTGTGTGTAGGTGTGTATGTGTGTGTATATAGTGGTGTGTGTGTATATAGTGGTGTGTGTGTATATAGTGTGTTTGTGTGTGTGTAGCTGTGTGTGTGTATAGTGGTGTGTGTGTGTATAGTGGTGTGTGTGTTTATGTAGTAGTGTGTGTGTGTAGGTGTGTGTGTGTGTATATAGTGGTGTGTGTGTATATAGTGGTGTGTGTGTGTATAATGTGTTTGTGTGTGTATAGTGGTGTGTGTGTATATAGTGTGTTTGTGTGTGTATAGCTGTGTGTGTGTACCTGTCACTCTGAGTTTCTCTGTGCCGATACTGACTTCGTTCTCATCAGCGGAGAACAGAACCTTCTCTCCATCAGCACTCCGCACCTCGAACCTCTGACACTGAGCCTCTACCAGCTCTGAGCCTAGAGGGACAGAGAGAGAGAGAGAGAGAGAGAGAGAGAGGGAGGGAGAGAGAGGGAGGGAGAGAGAGAGAGAGAGAGAGAGAGAGAGAGAGAGAGAGAGAGAGAGAGAGAGAGAGAGAGATCTATTAGAGAAATACTGCTCAAATTCTCAGCCATTAATCTTTCAGTTGTTTCAGTTATTTCACTAAACAGCTCCCAGTGTTGAGCGAGTTACTCAATAAAGTAATCCATTACACATTACTAATTACTTCTCTCAAACTGTAATGAGATTACAGTGAAGTACACACACACACACACACACACACTCACACACACACACACACACACTCACACGCACACACACACACACGCACACGCACACACGCACACACACTCACGCACACACACACACACACACGCACACACACACTCACACACACACACTCACACGCACACACGCACACGCACACACACTCACACACACACACACACACACACACACACACGCACACACACACACACACACACACACACACACACACGCACACACACTCACACACACACGCACACACACAGTCACATACATTGATTCATTTGCAACAATCTGTTAAAAACACTTGTTGGCAACATGCAGAATTTGAGTGTTTTGGTTCTTTTAGCTTTAAGAAAATAGGTCTGTGATGTAGGATAAGACAAAGTTTCTAAATCAGGGTGTGAAACTCCAACACTAAAAGGTCCAAGTTAAAAAATCAGCTGTGTTTTTATTTTATTTTTGTTAACATTTTGCCATGACCCAAACAGACCATTGTTTAAAATACACCAAAACAGCAAAACATGCATTAAATACTGATTCAAAAATAATTCTAAATAAAAATAAATTGTTTTAGGTAGTTTTTTTTAAAACTGCCTATTTGCTTGAACTGGACACCAGGCATCTTCTCTTTTTGGGTAACTGCTGGCCCATAGATTGTTGTGTGGGGAGCGTGCATTATGCTGCAGAGCATGCTGGGGACTGTAGTGCAGCTCAGGGTGAAACAGGCTAATAAGAACAGAAAATTAAGATAAAACACAAACGTGGGCCTTGTGTTTGACACATGGGTACTAAATAAAGAAGAAAATAAAGTCACTTTTAATGTAGGAAGTGCACTAGATTAAATAATTTATTAGCTGATTGTTAAAATCTATTTTAGGTAACCTACAATACAAAAATGTGCCAGAAACAAACACTTTAAGATGCCATTTTATTCTAAAACACCTACTAATCACTGATGAAAACACTAACTGAGTGTGTTTACATGCACTTAATAATCTGATTATAATCAGATTTCTGCAGTTGTCTGATTATTCAAGCGGTTGTGTAAGCAGCACACTCCGATTTCTTAGATCAGATTAAGGTCTAGAACTCAGATCAAGAGATCCGATACAGAGAGCTGATTTGAGCCCCGTAATGTTTTTTTTCAGTGAGCTCTTACTCTGATTTCTTTCATTTTTCTCAGTCTGCGCATGTATGAAAACAGAGCGCTGTCCCGGAAACAGCAAGCAGCGTTTAACCCAGCACCCACAAGACACCAGCAAAACACTTTTGGGGTGAAGCTGAAACCAACTGTCCTTGACGAAATGAAGGATTTAAGTGTTCTTCGTCTTCTAGATGATGTATATTTATATTTTCCAATAGAAAAAGATATATAGAATATTATATAGAAGCTTTTTGAAAAGGGTTCCATTTAGCACCAGAAAGGGTTCTTGCATTGTTACAAGCATGTAGCAAGCTTGATGGTGCTACATAGAACCCTTTTCAAAAAGCTTCTATTTAGAACCATATACAACACATTCTCTATCAATCTGAAGAACCATTTTACTGTGCAGATACAGCATATAGCACTAAATTACAATTTTCTACTGTAACAAGCTTGACATCATAACAACAGAAGAACCTTTTTTGATGCTATATAGAACCATTGTAAAAGTACCATTTGACCATGCAAAGAACCATTTAAGCATGAAATGGTTGTATACAGAACTCACGGTTCTAGATAGAACCACTGCCGTTCCGAAAACTTAAAGAATCATCTTGTCAGAATCAATCATTGGTGCTAGATAGAACCATTTTCAAGAAGGTTTTATATAGAACCATGTACAACACATTCTTCATCAATCTGAAGAACCATTTCACCATACAGAGAACCATTTAAGCATAGAATGGTTCTATACAGAACTCATGGATCTAAACAGAACTACTGCCTTTACTAAACAAGCCTTGAAGATCCACCTATTTATGAGTGTGTATAGCACCAAAAGTGGTTCTTCTATTGTAAAAAGCTCGACATCGCTACAACAGATGCACCCCTTTTGGTGCTATATAGAACTGTTTTCAAGACGGTTCTATATAGAACCATATACAACACATTCTCTATCAAACTGAAGAATGATTACACCATGCAGAGAACCATTTAGGCATGCATGTTCATGGTTCTAAATAGAACCATTGTTTTTACTAAAGAACCCATGAAAAACCATCTTTTTAAGAGTTTGTAGTAATGATGTCAATTTTTTCCTTAAATTTACACGTTCTACACGTGAGAGGTTGAAGTTTTGACAGCATCGACTACTGTCATTACACCAGGTTTGAAAGCTCACACGACGTAGCCGTAGTAACCAAGCGGGGACCACATAGCCAAAAACAAAGGAAATAAAAGGGAAAAGGAGAAAAAGAAAAGAGCTCATTTGATTGGTCTGGAAATACAGTCTTGTCAGGTTACAATCCAGATTCAAGTCACATGAAACAACCAGGTGCAAACTTAGTCTTTGAGATGTGAGCCGAACTACACACAACTTCACTGGAACCTCAGAAGAGTCCAGTGAGGATTCTCAGATATGTCTGTCTGAATGTGTTCGCATGAAAGGATGTGTGGAATGTTTGGCTGGTTTGGGCCTGGAGCGCTGTTCTACGCTATTTGTCGCTAGGCTAGCTCCAATTTATGACGGACACCACTGGGGAATTGGCCAGAGGATTGTGTGTTTGTCCAAAGGATGGTGATAGAGGACTCAGTGGACCATCACTACTCTAATCTGCCGCTGCAGGGGCTCGTGGGAAATGTAGTTTTGTGCTGCTCTTCCCCATGATCAGTCAGAGCTACTACAGGGAGAGCAGAAAACAAACAAGCACATGCTACACTAAATGTTTGTCGCAGCGCACTAGCATGTTTTACCACAACAGTTTGGGGAGAAATCGAATAATCCCCTCACCCCAGGCGCAGAACGTCAGCCAGGACTCGGATTTGGTGTCTGAAGTTTGCTTCTTTAGCTTTGAAGAAGAAGACACTAGCAACAACAGATTAGCATTGTTAGCATGCCTAAACCTTCACACTCACCTCAAACTGTGTGGAGATATTTAATAATGACTGACAGACTTGCTTATGTGGTTTCTGACAATGTATAACGTTGGTATCTACAGCATGTTCTCCATCAATCTGAACCATCATGGCAACAATCTGGCAGTCGTGGGCTGGAGGTTGGGGAACCAGCCTTGTGACCGGGAGGTCGCCGGTTTGATCCCCCGAGCCGATAGTCTGTGACTGAGGTGCCCTTGAGCAAGGCACCTAACCCCCAATTGCTCCCCGGGCACTGCGGATAGGGCTGCCCACCGCTCTGGGCAAGTGTGCTCACTGCCCCCTAGTGTGTGTGTTCACTAGTGTGTATGTGGTGTTTCACTGCACTGATGGGTTAGATTGTGGAGGTAAAATTTCCCCACTGTGGGACTAATAAGGGTCCTTTAATCATTCAGAGGGTTCTTAAAGTGTTCATGGTTCTATATAGAACCAATTTCTTTCCTAAAAACCCTTGAAGAACCCTTATTTTTAAGCGTACTTCTATTACTAATATGACATACTTCTGTCCATGTTTCTAGATAACAGTACGTCACAACAGTGTCTATTGGATGGAATCTATTAGAGACGTTCTTATGTGGCCGAGAGTTGGAGGCATTTGGAGTTATTTAAGCTTGTCTTGCCTCTATATGCCGGTGCTCTTTCAGTGCTGTAGCTCCATCAGCGCACAGAAAAGGCCCCAGCATCGGCCCACTCAAGTACAGCAGGGCGCTTTTTCTGGCTGCAATTCATAGAAGGATGCTCAAGTCTTTTTCAGAGGGCCACAGGCAGCCTTTCCCGCGTTCTCATTCGTATTCCTGGACTGAGGTTGAGGAAACACTACAGCTGTACCTCCAAACACACTTGACTCAGAGGCCTGGGCTGCTGGGGTTTTCGACAGAAAGCAAGCGGACTGTGGAAGCGCTGCATGCTGCCCTTAGGTTTATTGAATGCTCTGTCGAAATTGCAAAGTGCTTAATAGTCAGATACCAGCTTTATTCTCATAACTTGTCATTTGCGTGAAGATGATTCAACGTCTGGCTATTGTGACTTTTCACATGCTTACAAACTAAATATAATTTTAAATGAACAACACTATACCGATGATGTAGTTCACAACTGAAGGTGTTTTAAGTCAGTGTGCTGGCATTTTTAGCAGTGTATATGCTTTTTTGGACAGATAGTGTGATATAAACTGAGTCAGTTCTACAGTTTCTCATAAGGTTGAATGAATAACCAACTCTAAATGTAGGTATTGTGATATAAACTGAGTCTGTTCTACAGTTTCTCATTACGCTGAATGAATAACTGACTCTAAATGTAGGTATTGTGATATAAACTGATTCTGTTCTACAGTTTCTCATTAGGCTGGATGAATAACCGACTCTAAATGTAGGTATTGTGATATAAACTGAGTCTGTTCAACAGTTTCTCATTAGGTTGAATGAATAACTGACTCTAAATGTAGGTGTTGTGATATAAACTGAGTCTGTTCTACAGTTTCTCGTTAGGTTGAATGAATAACTGACTCTATATGTAGGTATTGTGATATAAACTGAGTCTGTTCTACAGTTTCTCATTAGGCTGAATGAGTAACCGACTCTAAATGTAGGTATTGTGATATAAACCCAAAAACTGTTGTCCACCCACACTTAT